AAACCTCACACATCCAACACACACGATCGCATCGTCGGCCAGTGAACAGTACCTGCGGCCATTGAGAATTATAGTATTGGGTAGATAGAGGGGGGGGGGAGGGGGGGGTGGCATCAACAAACCACGAAGGAACCCCCGAACAGACACGAAGGAACCCCGACGATGTAACCTTCACGACTCAAATTCCCTGTGCGATCCGGCTACCTGCTTTCAGCGAGGGATAGCGCGGGAGAGCCTAATAAACGAAGAGCGGGTTACAACAGATTTACTAAGAAGAGCAGCTCTGTGGGTAATATGGAGATCAAGATGCAGACAAACGTTGAGCAATCAGAAAACATCCACAGAGGAGTCATGGGAGGAGGCGCGAGAAAGTATTGAAATTTGAAACAGAAATCAAGGCACAATGGAAAGACAACTAACTAAGCTGGAAAAGGTAATAGAAGCCCCCCCAAAAAAACTGAAGACAGACAGAATTCTTTTGTGGAACGCTGGCTCCTAGAAACAAAATAGCAACAATGAGAGGGAAAACACTAGACACAATTCATAGATTAGCACAAAATGTGAGGCTTACTCTCATGGAGGACATAGCACGCCAGAACGGAGAAAACTGGAAGACCAGCAAGAAAACAAGAAAACTAAATAGAGGACTTTCGTATAAAGGAGGGAGGTGAGTCCTTGGGGACATCCGCTAAAATCATAAATGATACACAGAAAGAAGATTAGCATGGCCCCTGCGCAAGGACGACACGCATAATCGAGAAATGGTCCAAATTATTTAAAAAAAAAAGAAAAAAGGATGGAGGCGAAAGGATTTCACCTTCCTTACCTGCGGTGATCCAATCCGAGAACCTGTTGCTGTTGTTGCCTGTGTAATGACCCGCCAAAAACACAGACTGAGAACACTGCTGATTTCTGGGATTTGCCGCTGGAATGAATGCCTTGCTGAGATTCCCACATTCTGCTGTGATTTTCATGTCTGTGTGTGTGTGCGTGCCTGCTGGTTTGCATGCCTGTCTGAGTGCTTGTCCGTTGAGTGTGTGTGTGACCCGCAAGGGTACTAGTTGGTTGCAAGGCCCCGCAGGGCCGGTACTTACCTGTGGCCGTGACTTTGAGGGTTGCAGCGGGGGGAAAACACTCGAGTAGCGGGGGTAGGCCAGCAACACTTAGGACAGAGGGGAAAAACACTCAAGTAGCAGGTAGGCCGGTACCACTGAAGTAGTGGTAGAAGTGTCGGGTACTGGAGTCCGAGCAGAAGAGGACAAAAAGTTGGCATTTTTAGAGGCCAGTAGCGGTAGGCTAGAGGTAGGCCGGTACCAGTCCAAGTAGCCCGGGTCTAGGGCCTGTCCGGAGGTTAGCAGAGCCTGCAATGATGTTTCCCTCCGAAAGGGAGGAGGTACCGGTTGCTGGGAGGCCGCTCGGCCTAGGAAGTCACCGCCCAAGAGGCCAGTAGGCCGCTATATCTTCCGGAGGAGCAAGTAGCGGTATGCAAGGATTGGCGACATGCTGCTGGAGCACAGCGCTGGACTGGTACAGCGCTGCTTGGAGGTGAAGGGCAGCTGGCGCTCAGCCTGGCTATGGCGAGCAGCCCAGCCTGAGGAGGAGGAAGAAGGGGGCGAAGGAGGAGAGTGGCGAGGCACCTACCTGGCTATGGTGGATACCGTCTTCATCACCTTGTTGGGCGCTGCATCTGGAAGGCCCCAGTTGGGGTAGTGCTGCACCAAGGAAGCTCAAGGCAGAGCTTGGCATGGCGGACCAGTCAGTAGCAGCAGCATAGCTGCTTTGGGTTGTCCTTTGGACAGGAGGGCAGGGCCCTCAGTAGTCCGCCATAGCCTATGCAAGAGGGAGGAGGCAGAAGGAGGGAACCCATAGCTATGGTGGACTTGTTGTTGTTGTTGTGTTGAGTCAGCAGTAAGAGGGAACTTCGGATATTAATTCTGGTTCATCCACTCATTGTTATTATTATTATTGGGAGAAGAATAAGATTGGCGAAGTGAAGGAGGAGGAGGAAGGTGGAGAGAGAAGGGGGAATTGTCACTGGTCTTGCTGGTGTACATCTTCTTCTTCTTCTTCTTCTTCTTCTTCTTCTTCTTCTTCTTCTTTCTCTCTCCTCTGGTCTCTATCTCTTTGCAAGTGCTTTCATTTCTTTCGCAATTGGGTGGCATTGACTTTCATTGTGAATTTGCACTTTGGGAATGACCAGGATCGTAACACCTGTTGTGTTGTGTTGTGTTGTGTTGTGTTGTGTTGTGTTGTACGCCTGCATGATGTTGATGGGATTGGAACCCTAAACCTTGACGCCAACTTACCTATGTATTTACTTGCTACTTGTTGATGTACTCTAGTATGAGCGTTGACTGTGCTGGTGGAGTCTTGAACCTGAGACCTGTTCTTGTATACGTGTGAAGTCGATGCTTAGTACTACTTGTATGGTAAGTGTCTTGCAAGTATCCAGAGAGCTCCAGGGGCAACGGGGGAAGCGCCCCAGGGAAACAAAACTTCAGAATTCATTTTTGCTCGGTTATTCAGGTGGTGCTAGGTGCTTTGGAAAACTGTGCAGTGCGCTGTAGGAGGAAGAGACATGGCTGAAGAAGGCGGCGGCCATATCTGTGTAGTAGGACAACGGAGATGGGCAGTGGATGATTTCCGTTCTTCCTTGAGTAGCTCAGTTGGTTGAGCGCGCAAGTGGCATTCAGGAGGTCATGGGTTCGATCCCCCATGCAGTCGGGTCGACTCCCTACGGCCCCCTGCGGCGCACTAGGAGTAAGGAGCCTGGGTACTACTCCCCGCACAGAGTAGAGTGGATAGAATAAGGTGGGTTCCCTCTAGTAATTCCCCCAGAAATGACACAGGATGTATGCAAAACAGATACATTATAGAAGAAAATGTAAGCAGTGTCATGATGTCATCGGTT